TACACTATTGTCTTAAGGATGGGAGCTGAAGCTCGACGAGAATCCAATGTTTACGTTCCAAAACAGGGATAAACACCTGCAATCATAAGTAATAATTCATTCATTTGCGCACTTATTTCATAAAACCTTTAAACTCAATCTAAAATAAATACTAACCTTATCGACCTCCCACCATGCAGGATAAAGTTTAGCTTGTCCATTGCCCAAATCAAATGATTCATCTCGTGCATTCTTCAAGTGAACGGCGTTAAAAGACGTCGGCATAATTGTATATCGTATATTTTTATTTTTCTTAAGTTTTCTTATTATTAGAAGACATGTCACCCACGCATCGATATGCTGTTTTACAAAAAAAGACATATATTAGTGACTTACATAAATTTAAAAAAAAATTAATCAAATTGAAATATAAGAAAAATATAAGACTTACCCCCCCCATCGAAATAGCCATTGTCTTCGACCCCTAATAATACGCCCCACCAAGACCGATCAAGCAACAAATAGATATCATCGGTGAGCTTGCATATGTCAGTGAAACACCCCTGGCTCCGCTCATGTAGATAAAAATCAACTGCGGTCTTAGCCCAAAGGGTGTTATCCAGAATTGTGTCTGGTAGTTGTCTCCTCTCCACTTCCGATACCGGAATGGTACTGGCCGTAACTTATACGAGAGCCAACTCTCATCCATTATGTCCGGCACGTCAGAGGGTTTCTCAAGAAGCCTACATATGACGCCATGTGAATCGGGCTCTTGAATGGTGGGAGGGACCTCTTCAATGATGACAGTGGCCTCTTGAACGGTGGGAGGGGACTCTCGAGGAATGATAGGGGGGGCCTCTTCAACGATAGGAGTGGACTCTTGAGGGATGATAGGCGAGTCGGGCTTCTTCTTGCGGTGTCTTCGCACTATTGGGGTGTACGGAGACTTAATAGCACGTGCACGCTGTCTGATGCGTGAACTCCGTCGTGCAAGCATAACTCGACGTAAAGCATCCACTCTATCGGGCCGCTAAATAATTAAATACAAAATCAGTAAATAAACAGACATGATATTTAAACAGTGAAACAAGACAAATATGTTTCAAACTTGCATTGTATTCACCCAAGTCATTATTCTATCATAGTTCACAAAATGCATCAGATAACAAAGAAAAATATGTTTCAAACTAATACCCTGAAGTTAGTATTTGTCTTTGTTTTGTCTATTGGTTGAAGTAATGCAATCCATTCAAGTTTCAATTTGCAGAAGAAGAAATAGTTTACTTTCGCAACACAAAACTTAAAATCGCAACGCGAAATGAGAATCGCAACGAGAAACCAAAATCGCAACGCGAAACCAAAATCGCAACGCGAAATGAAAATCGCAACGACAGAATCGCAATGCGAAATGAAAATCGCAATGCGATTTTGGTTTCGCGTTGCGATTCTGTCGTTGCGATTTTCATTTCGCGTTGCGATTCTCTCGTTGCAATTTTAAGTTTCGTGTTGCGAAAGTAAACTATTTCTTCTTCTGCAAATTGAAACTTGAATGGATTGCATTACTTCAACCAATAGACAAAACAAAGACAAATACTGACTTCAGGGTATTAGTTTAGCAGAATTGGCAGCAACCGAACAAATTTACTTTCAACCAAAAGACAAAACAAAGACAAATACTATTTCACAGTGTTAAAGAATACACAGTTTAGCAGAATTGGCAGCAACCGAACAAATTTACTTTCAACCAAAAGACAAAACAAAGACAAATACTATTTCACAGTGTTAAAGAATACACAGTTTAGCATAATTGGCAGCAACCGAATAAATTTACTAAGCAATCTAAGTGAAATGGCTAATCTAAGTGAAATTACGAGTAAATTTATCATTAAGTTAAATATGGAAAATCTTAAACTTACCTCGTTGCGTAGAGTATGAACCTCATTCTGCAACGATACTATCATCTCACGTAGAGCGGTAACCTCACCACGTAAAGTTGACACCTCCACACGCCATGCACCATCGTTATCGCGTAGAGTACCGATCTCCTCACGCAAGGCATTGACCTCATCACGTAACTCATCCCGTGGAGGTGGAGAACAAGGAGATAAATGTCGTGGCCTCTTTACCGGTCGCCTATCATGAGGTGATGGTGGAGAAGAGGCTCGATGATGTGACGGGATAGGTGATGGCTCTCGTTCTAGAGGTGTATAGTCGGGTCGATCGGGTGATGGCTCTGGGTGAGGTGATGGCTCTCGAATTGGAGGAAGTGGATGCTGCTCATCATCCGTGCCATCAAAAAAACTCTGACTAGGTTGCCACCAATCAGTGGCAAGCTCTTCCTCCGTGGGTATCAGTCTTTGTAATGGAATGTTGGCCTCCTAACAATATAAAAACTCAAACAAAGTTAAACGTCTACTATTAATAACTTGTTTATATTATATGAAAGTATTTGTGTTAACTTACATTATTTATTGTCGCATATGGTATTAAGTCTTCCAATCCAACAGATTTTTCCTCTTCCAGGAAATAGCCCTGGGAATATCATTTGACGTTTTTATTGCATATGTACGCATGCTGGGGAAAGCCTCGAATATCCAAATCTACAAACAATATAATAACAAAATTAGTAATTGTTAAATAATTAATTATAATTTTAGAAACATTATATAGAAATTCTTACCTTAAGGCCCAAACAAAGCCTGAAAAAGTGTATTTCGACCCATCGCCACGCAAACTTTTGCGGTCATCAAAGGCATAGACAACTTAGTCCAGGTAGCTTTCCATATATACGAACCCCACGGAAACAGATTCCATGCATTCAGGTCCTCTACCAATATTATTAGCTCCCGAGGAATAGGTTGTCTGGCCTCTCTGCCTAAAAAGTCGGCATACACAAGTAGTAGAAGGCATACTCGGACAACATCGACGTCATCCATCCGAGTGAAACCAGCTTTCTTATTAAACAATTTCTTCAGGTCGTCGACGTGTAGGTTCGGCTTCTCCATTGACTCATCCGGAAAAACCCGGGATAACCATGATGGGCGGGCGATATGACGAGTGTACCGCCTACATCATCGTGTCCGAATCGTAGACCAGTGATTAAGCAGAACTCCTTCCGCCCAAAACAAGTATACGCTGGTGGAAAATGAAACCATATCTCTTCCTCACCACGTTGTATACTGTCGGGTAGATTTGATGTCATGGTCTGAAGCCACAAATGGGTCAAATTAGCATCTCCACCCGGATGCTGTACTCTCAGCCATGGCCCGAAGCAGGTTTTCCTCAAACAATTGTCTTTGTGCAGGTGAAAGCTTCGAAGCAATTGTAGTGGCTAGACTAACTTTATTCCTTAATGTCAATGAAGCCGAAAAAATTTCTACAAAACAATAAACATACCAAGTTAGATATACCAAAAACTACACTGTGAAGATATACCAAAAACAATAAACATAAAAGTAGTAGTTTATTCTTGAAACTAAAATTTGCAACACTGTTTTGTCTTTTGGTTGAAATGAAAATCGCAACGAGAGAATGACTGTCGCAATGAGAGAAATGAAATCGCAACGAGAGAATCGCAACGCGAAATGAAAATCGCAACGAGAGAATCGCAACGCGAAATGAAAATCGCAATGCGATTTTGGTTTCGCGTTGCGATTCTCTCGTTGCGATTTTCATTTTGCGTTGCGATTCTCCCGTTGCGATTTTCATTTTTCTCGTTGCAGATAGTGATTTTCACGTTGCGATTTTCATTTATCTCGTTGCGACTCTTCTGCAAATTGAAACTTGAATGGATTGCATTACTTCAACCAAAAGACAGAACAAAGACAAAGACAAATACTAACTTGAAAATCGCAACGAGAGAATAGCAACGCGAAATGAAAATCGCAACGAGAGAATCGTAACGCGAAATGAAATCTAAGTGAAATGGTTAATCTATTATTGAAATGACCAGTAAACTTATCATCAGTTTCAATATGAAAAACCTACAATAATGCAAAAATTTCAAAATAAAAATAATTAAAAAACTAACCCTCGGAGGTTGATTTTCCATTTCTGAATATTGTGAGGGATTTCTGACCGTGAATGGTTGTGAGGGATTTCGCCGGAGATGGGGACGGAAATCTTCGGAGATGGGGACGGATTTCGCCGTAGAGAGTGAGAGATGGAGATGGGACTGAGTTGTGATTTTAGGTTTTAGGTTATGAGTTGCGATTACGGGATTTTGTCTTAATATTCGTTTTTGTAATTTGAAAATAAAATACGCGTAGCGATTATAATGGCGCTTTAAAAATCGCGTTGCGATTTACGGATACGCGTTGCGATTTTACGTATTGTCGTTGCGATTTACGGATACGCGTTGCGATATACGGATACGCATTGCGATTTACGGATACGCGTTGCGATTTACGGATACACGTTGCGATTTACAACTACGCGTTGCGATTTATGTGTTCGCGTTGCGATTTTTCATATTCGCGTTACGATTCTGGAAAATCGCAATGCGAATTTGTACTATCGCATTGCGATTTTCAAGAATCGCGTTGCGATTTTGGAAACTGATTTGCGATTCTGGGGATCGCGTTGCGATTTTTATTTCGCGTTGCGATTTTGTTGGTCATTTTGGCAAATCCAAAAAAAGTTGGTTAAAATCGTATATTATAAGGCATTTTTGGTCACTGAGGCGATTTTCTCTATATATATTATCTTTCAAATAATATGTTTAATTTATATATTTAAATTTTGGATTTTAATTGATTAAACTACCGGTCAATTTTTTTTTAGAAATTTATTATTAAATTTAAATTTAATGAAAGAAATTAAAATTTCTGAATCATATCTCGAAAGTTGAAACGAAATCATGAATGATACTCAAACAAAGACAAATAGAGCTTAGCTGTATTGAATTCATGTTTTAATAACATCAGTAAATGACAGTTACAACTTTTTTTATTCTTTCTGAATATTTTTTTCCTTACACGAATTAAAGAAAAAACAAGATTGCCGTTTTAAAACAAAAATCTCTCTCTATAGAGAGAGAGAGAGGTCCACCATACCACTCGCTGCTTATCTTATAGAAAGTGCAGAGAGAATTTCTTGTTTGTGAGAGATGGGTTTCACAGAGAAGCAAGAAGCGTTGGTGAAGGAATCATGGGAGGTTTTGAAGCAAGATATCCCTCGTTTCAGCTTGCTTTTCTTTTCTCTGTAGAAATCTTCGTCGTCTTCTTCTTCTTTATGTGAATATATATATATTCCTCTTTTTTTTAACTTGATGGTTTTTAGGATATTGGAGATAGCACCAGCTGCAAAGAATATGTTCAGTTTTCTGAGGGAGTCTGAGGAGATTCCCCAGAATAATCCCAAGCTCAAAGCTCATGCTGTCAAGGTTTTCAAGATGGTCAGTCCATTATTTTTTCACTTGTAATTCATCTGAATATTGCATGTAACATAAATAATGGTGATGTTTGTTTGATGTAAGAGAAGACATGTGAGTCAGCCATTCAACTGAGGGAGAAAGGGGAGGTGGTGGTCACTGATACAACTTTGAAGAATCTGGGCAACGTTCATGTCAAGAGTGGTGTCTTAGACCCCCATTTTGAGGTATTTTTTTAATCCCATTAAGTAATTTAAATTAGTAAAGTAATGGGGAAATAATATCTATTACGCAGGTGGTGAAAGAAGCACTTTTAAGGACAGTTAAAGAAGCAATAGGAGAAGGGAAATGGAGCGAAGACATGAAGAGCGCATGGGGTGAAGCTTATGATCAGTTGGCTTCAGCCATCAAGGCTGAGATGAACAACATTGCTGCTTAATTTCAATGTTAATTATCCTTTTACTTCCATCAAATCAAATGTTGATGTCAATATCATCATGAATAAAACTTATTTGTATTAAACACCGTATATGAAAAATTGAAGTCATTTTTATTTACTAATGAATGAATAATTATGCCACGTGTTATTCCAATTATACAAAAGCATAGTGTTTCACAAATCATAAAGGCAACAACTTCACACTCTTTTAATTGGAATGGAGCCCTTTTAACTCACATTGGCTTCTCTTAACTCTTACCTCTTTACTCTTACACCTTTTACTTCATCTCTTTACACTATTGAGTACGCACGGATTACCTCCACAATGGGTGCTCTGCACAATGGGCATTTTCCTCCTCCACGAACCAACTCGTTCGCGCATTTTGCACATGTGCACATGTGTCCGCATCTGCAACCATTATGGTATATAGATCAGTACCGAAGGGGCTGCGCATATTCCGGTGTTAGACGCTCATAGTGAGCACGAAAAAGAAATTTTGAAAGTTCAGAAGGTGAAAACCTGTACAAAAGTGAATCGATATGGCTATCGCAACAAACACAGCAAGTTCCTTTCCTTACATGACACCATTGGGATCCATACTCCGATGTTTCTGCAGTCGAAACTGTAATAAAAGTCAGACCGAAATAATGGTTTTAAGGAGGGAAAAGAAGTTGGGAGGATTTACAGACCTTTTTCACCAGCTGATCTATTCAACGCTGCAGATACTTCCTGCCTGACAGATCGCTGCAGCTCGAGCTGCATATCCATGCAGGCTTCCAGCATCCTCTGCATGTGGCTCATGCCTTGCTGGAGCCTAGCCATATCGGCTCTAAGATCATTAACCATCTCCCATTCCTGCTCAAAATAAGCAACCTTATAAATAACTTAAAAGCGCACAGTTACAGAATGTACCATCTACGAAATTGAGAGTAAGATATACGGGCCTATGTCCTGATAATATTCAGCAAAACAAGCCAAGACTGACGAACTATAATAATGGGAAACAAGCTGCATAGTTTACAAAAATTAATACCCACACTGGAGGGAGAAAAAATCCTCGTACGTAATTCAATTTCTTATCTAATAAACTCTCTCTCCAGGTAGTATGGTTTCCGTGGATAATTTTAACTATAATTCTTTGGTATTAAACTCATGATCATGATTCCTACGGCCCACCTCTAATACGTTAAATATTGATTCCAAGAGAAACTTGACACCTATAGCAACATCTATAACAGAATAAAGTGGAAATGACTTGATAGTATACAGTTGCACAAAATAAGAAAGATGGCTCACAATTTCTGATCTATGCATGCCGTGCCGAGACCAACTGGGATGATGTAAGTCTTGATGCCATAGTGGTTGTGGTGGTGGCACTGGAGGTGAAGGTAACACCCGTGACGGTCTGTTAATCGTATCATTCCGATCACTATTTATTTCATCTCTCTGCTGCTCTTGATCTTGCTCTGGTGAGGCTGGAGTTGGCAAATTTCCATGTAAATCCCAATCGATGGGTGAACGGCCATGTCTTTCCACATAAGAATGAATTAATTGGTCTAGACTTTCCCGGAATCCACTTCGAAGAAGATTAGAGACACTTCTCCTACAAATTAAATTTATATCAACCATCAAAGAAGTTATAACATTTTTACTTTTTAGCATAAAAAATACCCTGTGTCAAATACCTGCTCAGAAGCTCTCTAAGTTCCATACTATATACATTATCATCTTCTGGTGGATGAAATCTATTGAACCTTCTAGCTGGGATTGCACGACGTGCTCTCGGAGGATCAGAAGGCCCTTCTGACCAATTATCAACAGCTTCCTGTGAGCCATCCTCATGCCAAACCCTATGGCCTCCCTGTAGATGACTCTCTTCTCCATTTACATTCCCAGAATTTTCTTGGCGAAACTCACTAACTGAGCCTTCTTGCCAGTTTGTATCCAGTTCTTCTGCATTGCCTTCTCTCCATTCATTGAACTGAGCATATGTTGGCTGTGGCCAACTTGCTTGCTCACCATTGGTTGTTGGCTCCTGCCAATTGCCACCTTGGTTAGCATTTCCTTGCCAACTTATGCTCTCAACAGCCATGTTGTTGCTAACCATATCTCCTGTTTGTGACCGTGTGACATCACTTTCCGAACTCCTGGATTGTGTATGCCCATTTTCATCACTTTGAGCATCCTGAAATGTGTTTGATTGGGGAAATTCGATTATAGAATTATCAATGGCATTACTAGACGTGGTTTCTGAATTGCTGCTTGCTTGACCACGGACAATGGTTTCTAATCTGTTGCGGAACCCTTCCCTAAACGAGAAAAAGAATTAGCTGTTAAGCAAATCAATGGAAACTATGAGAGCTTCATGCTTGAGAGAGCTGAAAGCAGCATTACAAGGAATTGTTCAAGCCATCACCAAAATATTTTGTATAATTGTAAAACTCTTTAAAAAAAAGAAGAAATCTTAATCTGAGCATGAATAACAACATTTCATACCTCAAGCCAGATACAGTGTGTCTTTGTCTTAATTGAATTAATTCACTCGCTGCCATTGAAGGTGGTCTCTCCTCTTCAACAGATCTTTCATTTCTTAAGAATCTACCTCTAAGTAGTGACTGCAGAGTTAAACGTATTGCTAATTAAGTATGGCCACATATGCAAATAAAAAGGTCATCACAGAAGAATTTTAATTGAGCAAAACCAAAATATATATTAACATCCGGATATGTGATTACAAAATAGTCAAGGTTTCACAATTAAAAGATGATTCCAACATCAAAATACTTTTTTTACTATAATATATATATATATATATATATATATATATATATATATATATATATCAACTTTCAATTTCCCACCTAGCATGAATATTTCTGCATCTTAATTCCAAATGAGCAGTGACAAAGAAAGAAAGAATAGTAGAAACTGACGTAGAACGTATTTATGAAGAATCAGAAAGAGGATAAATAAGTTATCCATATGTATATTAAGTCAGCCTAGAGCATCATTAAGTGTCACGGTCATCCAACATTGACAAAACTATAAATAACGTCCAGCAAAGTGTTTAGTCAATCAAATAGGCCTGTTTTCCACCAGTAAAATGGCTTGACTTACTGTAGAACATCCTTAGTACCTTATCACTGAAACAGGTTAATCCCACATGAAACTATAATACTAGATGGATTCAAAACCTTGCTAAAATGATGGAATTACTATCCTTGCACGTAGAGAACAATTTATAATCCTTATATTACAATCAAATATATGAAATAAATTAATAAAGGGAATGCATATGAGCATGTGACAAAATTAGTGCAACACCAAATAGCACTAAAATCTGCCGGTTTACTTTAACTCAACTTAGACTCCAGCATATTTCAGATATTTTCAGCAAATTAGCAAAGTTAAAACTAACATATACAACGAATTGCTGAACATAATTCACTGAGGTTCTGAAAATGGAGCCAACAGACCTGAATGCGGTTTCGATGAGCAAAATCAGAAACAGCACGGTGCTCTAATAGAGACTGAAGTTCCCTCTGTCTCTCTCTCTCAATCCTCATAAGCAAGTCAATAACAGCTTGTCGTCCACGCAACCTCAGCAAGTCCCTCGGAATCTGCTCTGGTTGGCCTTCATCATGGTCAGAAACTGAACCTTCACGAGGTTGATCGACTTGTGCACCAATTGTAGCAGCCGTCTGATGATCTTCCCTTCGTCCCCCACGAACTCCTCGCTGCTGACTCGTCATTTGCACCCACTCCCGGACAATTCTAACTCTCTCACGCTCCGTTTCACCAAGCCATTCAGCTCTAGAACTGCCAACACGGGATGACGAATGATCACTAATCCCACTCTCCATCCACCCACGAACGATCTGCCTCACCCTTTCCCTCTCAACTTCACCAAGATCAGGAGACTGCTCCCTACTAGACCCGTCATTATCCCCACCATCATTCAGCGACACACCCTGCTCATTCAACCATGTTCCATACTCGTTCTCGCTCTCACTGACATCGATAACACTACCATGATTCTCAATCCCACGACTCTCAAACAAGGTTGTGCTAGACATTGTCATATCGCCATCAGCATTCGTCTGCTGCCTCAACCTTTCCCTCACCCTCTCACGTGCCCTATTCAACGTATGCTCATCCTCCAACTCCCTCCACATTTGCAAAATCGAAGAAGCCTGCGTGCTAGGCCTCTCGACAGTCCCTCCTTGTCGCCTAGAATTAGGTGACTGCGACTCTTGCAAGAACGAAGAGTCGAGCATTGATACCGTATGTAAACCAGCTAAAGCCATCAATTCAGACTCCCTATTCCTCCTCTCAATCGTGGTTATCATTTCCTGAGCCTGCCTAGCAGCCCACCTACTCAAAATCCTGGAATGCCGCCTCCTAGCTGCGGATGATTCGGCTAAATCATCGCCTTCAAGATCTGACCTTCTTCTCCTCCTAAAAAGCTGATCACCCTCATCATCTTCATCATCAGGATTTCTATTAGTACTACATGGTGCAAATGACATACAATCATCTAAATGCCCCCTCATTAATTCCTCCAAACCCCTTTCAAATACAGCCGTGGCATCATTTGAAGAGTCTGGCTTTTGCTGTAAAGCTTGAAAATCTGTCATTTTTCCTATCCCTTTCTACATCTAATTCTTCACCATTATGTAAATTTGTCTGGAGTGCCTTAGTACCCAAACAAGATCACAAATATATAATAATTATATCTTAAAATTACAAAACCAGAAACTAATTTAGCTTACAGAACTGATAAAAAACAAATTTCACACAAAAGAAGTATGTCCTACGCCCTAATATTTGATACGAATAGTGTTCCCATTCATTTCTTCACCTGGTAACAATTCCAAAAACCAAAAGAAAAATCATAAACAAATGGAAAATAATAGAAGGATTTGACAGACAAATTTCGGAAGTGAAGAAAATTTTCAGGTGAAAGAGAGACGTACCCGTGATGTTTTACAGTGAAAAGAAAGAAACCCAGTGTTGCTTTCGCATTAAAAAAAATGTGGGAAAATCGTTTCACTCAAAGTTGAAAAACAGGAAACTGCAAAAAACAGAAATCTTGTTTGTTTGGATAGAAAAAAAAATAAGAAGAAAGAAGAGAGAGTAGAAGGAGATCAAACAAAGCGAATGATGTGAGAAATTTATAATCATCATTACATGAAAGAGAAATTTTTTTAATTTTATTAACTTTTTTACGGGAAAAAGAGGCGCGCCGATTTACCTATGAATGACACGTAATACTTATTTTTGGCCTTTTTTAGAAAATTACATTTTCGGGAAAAGACTCGGTCACCCACTCACCCTCACTCACTCACTCTTCTTTTTCATGCTTATGACACCACCACTCTACAATTTTTTTTTTCGTAAAGTAATAATAAATCATTATTATTTTCAAGAATGATAATTGTAAAAAAATTACTTGATTTTGATTGTCATACGTACAAAATAAATATTTTAAATTTATGCATTATTTTTTCGCATGAATCATTAAAATAATAAAAACTCATGAAGTGATATAAATATGAATATTTTTCTTTCTAAAGATTATAGGTTTGGTAAATGTGTTATTAATTAATTAAAAAATTAAAAAATATTATTTTATAATAACTCAAGAATACTAAAAAAATAATAAATACAAATGTCTAGAAAATTGAACATAATAATTAATAATTTATATAAATAACCCAAATATAAATGGCCGAGGTTTAGCTGTATTTTTGGATAATTTATAATAAACAATCTTATAAGTTCGCTTAGTCTAAACTTATTAAATGATCTCAATAGTAAAAAAATATTAATCTTCTTAAAAAGTCTTAGACTGAAACAATGACGTCTGTGGAAACTATTATCCTCTAATCGATATTAAAATTATGATATTTAACTTTTATAAAATATCTTTAAATAAAATTATTTAATTGTTTTTATTTATATCAACAATTTTTTGTATGTTTAAAAGTAATACATTTTATCTATTTAAAAACACTTTTTAACAGTAATATTAGATAATTAAATTTTAAGATAACATGCACAAATGATCACTAAACTATGCTAGAATGATCTTCTTGATCTCTGATATTTTAGAAATTACAAAATGATCATTAAATTTACCAAATTATTACAAAATGATCATTACACGTTATAAAATAGTGATAATTTTTGATAAATTCAAGGATCATTTTATAACAATTTTATATTTTAATAACACTTTTAAATAATTTAATAAAATTTAAAAAATTATTAAGAAGTTTAACGATCGTTTTATGACTTTTAAAGCTTCAATTATTTTAACATAATTTAATAATAACTAACCTAATTTATCATATATTTTAAATTAAACAATATAAAAAATAATCAACAACATGCCCTAAGTATATTGGTCCACCAGTTTTCATGTCAAACATATGTAAAGAATAATACACAACTTAGATGTCAACATAAATCAAATTCAATCTCTACAATTCTTGTCAATATATATATATATCTACAATTAGCTTATTATAATATCCATAAATTTTAAACATGTGTATATGTAGCAAATAAAACGTTCGGAAATTGAACTCCAGCCTTAATATAAAAGGAAAGGTACCTTTGTATTTTATAGGATCACTAACCTTAATATAAAATAATCATGGATTATTCCTCTAATAAAATAAGCTAAAGACTACTTCACCCTTAAGTTTTGAGATAATTTATTATAATTTTATTTAAACTTATTTAGTAATATACTAAAAATTTACCATTTAAAAATAATTTGTCACACTTATTGCATGCAATTTATACCCTAATTGGATAAATGTCCGTATTTTAGATTATTTTCTATTTTTTTAAAAAGAAAAAGTATCCAAAATAAGTAAATGTGCTATTTAATATTTGATAATCTAGATTAAATTAAGAATTTGCATACATTAATCGGATTAGCAATATCTTTAATTCTTGTTAGGATTTGGAAATGTCATTTTCTAATGGAATTTTGGAGTCTTCGACCAAATAATGAATTAATCCTTGAAAATGAAAAGTTTATTGAAAAAAAAAAAACCCTGCATTTTCCTGTGGAATTGTCATGATCATGGTTACTATGAAACCTAATTCATGGGTTCAAATGAATTCAATTAATTAATGATTTACCCAACTAAATACCTTGTAATCATGACTGATTTAAAGTTATGTTACATCTTTGAAGTGAAATCAAATACCAAAAACGAAGGTGAGTTGCGTTTTGCATAATTCTTGTATGCTGCCCTCTCTTTTTCGTTGATGCTTATGTTTAATATTTTACCCTTTTAATTATTAGTTTTTTGTTATTGTTTGAGAAAGTTAATATGGCTCAGAGAGGGGCACATAATATATTTATAATGTAAATATATGGAGATACAATAGTCTCTAAATATTGTTTGAGAAAGACAGCCTGGCTTATGGACCTATAAATTAAGATGGCAATGGCATAGCTACTGTTTGAATTGGTTGATAGAATATACCATCAAATTTTATGACCCCAAATTTTGTTTCAAATGTATCAAGGATGTCGGATTCGAGCACGACATATACCGAGGTATTTGAACGTTCATTGTCAAATAGTTGAGAATATTTCAAACAAATATTACTTTATAACACCTTAGACTAATAAAAAAAATATATGATACAACATTTCAAGATTTTAGGTAAGGATATAAGGAACAATACATAATTTTAACTTTTTGAGAAATAATATTAAAAATTTAAAGGCGTGAAATTACATAATTTTATGTGTGAAATTAATAATTAACAAAAATATATAAAAATAATACTTGAAGTAAATAAGAATTTAAATTTCTTAGAAGGTGTGATGGCTCTCGACTTCCCCTATAATTTATTCATTCTAAGATAGGATAATTAAAAATTGTGTTGTCCAAAGTTTGATGATTGATATATTTGTTAATTTTATATTTGGATTTTTATGCTTGTAATTTTTTTTTCATGATAACATTTCTTATTTAAAAAAATAAAAAGGATATTACAGATATATATATAAAGTAATTTTTTTCACATAAATTCTATCAAATTTTGAAAATATAAAAAGGCGTCTTCTCACTAAAATATTAAATTAAATTTTATTGCTAAAATATAAACTCCTATTATCTTTTATCCAATGCAATAGATCAATCTTAAACGATTACATTTTTTTTTTTGGAGTATTACTTTAAAATGTTTTTGAAATCTCTCATTTACAATATATTATATTGTCCTTGTAGGTCAACTAAAAATTAATTAATCATAAAGAGGTAAATATTTGGAAAAAAAAAGTATAATGACATTTTTGGCCTTAAATTTGTCAGAATTTCTTTCATCTTTTAAACTTTTTTCTCTTTGATCCTTTATTTTTCTGGGTAAACTAAATATTTAGTATCTAAATTATTACTTTTGTTCAGTTTGACACTCTAACTTTATTTTTCTTCAAAACTATACATAATGTTTAGTTTAAGTTTCAAGTTGGTACCCTACCGTTAACAACTCATTGATGATGATGACATCTTACTATACGGTAATGTCACGTCATCGTTTAAAAATAAAAATGATACCTTATTAGTTCTATTATTTTTTTAACTGTTGGGTACTAAAGCGAAACTTAAACCAAAAGCTAGGCAGGGTTTTAAAAAAGGCTTAAATGCACCATTGCTCGTTAAAGTATATCATTTGTACCAAATTACCCCTTAAAATTTTTTCGAAACATTTTACCCACTAAAGTTTAAATAATTACCTCGTTTACTCAAAGGGTGCGTTTGGTTCACGGAATGTAAGATTACAAGTGGGAATAAAAGATTACCAAGGAATAAAATTACGGGGAATGTTGTATTTTGTGTTTGGTTGGTTTAGCAGGAATGTAAGATTACCGTGTTTGGTTAAAGGAATAAAAGATTATTGGAATATATATTTGACCAAATTGTCCTTATTATATATTTGTATAATATTACAAATTGTAAAATATTTATATATTTTCTTTAAAAAATTAAATTCATAATATTTATATAATTTTTTTACAAAATTAAAAATATAAAAAAAGTTTAATGAAAGGGTAAATTTTTTTTAACCCCTGAACTTCATATAAAATTTTAATTATAGATTTTTTTTTGTAAATCTAAAATAATTTAAGGATAAATTTGTAATTTAACATTCGTAGAATTTTTATTATTCAATGACATAAGAAGGATATTTTTGAAAAAAAAATAAAAATTTAAGGGCATTTTAGTCCAAAACACCGGTAATTTTACAATACCTAAGGGAAGGGAGGTAATGACATTTCCGGTAATATACCCTAAAAAATCTACTATTGGTAATAAAACATTACCGGGAATGAAATTCCTGACCAACTAAACATGGGAATGTGGGATTCTCACAATCCTTGAACCAAACACCCCCAAACTGTTAACTGCACTAAAAAAATAATCAGTCAAAATATGTTGCATCACCCTTTTTTTATATAAATAAATAACAATAATTAAAAAAATTAAATAATTAATATCTCTAAAATACTGCTCTTCCCCCCTCCACCGTCAAACCCTCCCTTTTCCCGACATCCCCATTCAACGTCTACTTATTTCGGTTTATCTCTCGTCCAGTCATATAAAGCTCAAATAAACAAAAGTCTTATATAGTATTCTTTAAAAAAAAACAATATATAAATTTTGATATTATTAATAATTTAATTTAAAATATAAAATTTTAATATTTTTTTTGAGTCGAATATATTCAATTCTAGTGTTGATCGAGCATTTATCGAGTTGATCTCGAGTAGCTCGCATCTGTCTCGTCACGTTCATAGCCCTACACCTACAGACATAACTGCTTAACCCCAAAACTTCTTAAAAAAAATAATATTCCCTTCAACTATTAAAATTACTTATTGCTGCAATTTATTTTTGTACCTCTCAATTTCTGATCAAACATATTCCATTTACATTTAAATTTCGTACTTTCATTAAATTTCCATATATTTATCCCCATAAAGAGAAGTCCTTTTTTGTATAGGAAAAAATAGTTTGAAAACTTATGATGGAACAAAGTAATTGGACAACAATATTACATAACAGTTTGCTTCCTCTCCAAGTCAATAAAGT